TTAGTGCTCATTGTTCTAAAAGGATTAAAACCATCACTAGCAAGTACGAGTCTTACATTACGAGAATCGAAGCAAAATTTGGATATCGAGCATCAAAATTTTTCCATGCTTCTCCATCTATAGGATGCCTTAATAATCCATCTTTCTTATGAGCTTTATCATGCCATCTTATATCACTAGTAGTTTTGTTTGAACAAAATAAACTTTTCCAACGAGGTATCAAAGGAAAGTAATGTAACACTATTATTGGTATTTTCTTCCTAGCACCTAAAGTTTCCATCGGACCATTATTACCTTCTGTGTTGTTTTGTCGTTTTTTTTTTTTTTACCACCAAGGAGTACCACATTTATCACTTACTTTAAGATCTTTTTTATCACCCTAAAATAACATACAATCATTTGAACAACCCTTTATCTTGTTAGCACCCAATTTTTGTTCCAAAAAGAAAAAAAAAGAAAAAAGAAAAAAGAAAAGGAAGAAAAAAATAATAATACAATTGGGGGGTGCAATTGAAAAGAAAGGAGAAAAGAACCAAAACAAAGTAGGTTTGTAAAATAAGAGACGAAAACGATTTTAGCCAAAAAAGCCCTAAAAACCTAGTATAAAAACACCATTTTCTCCACAAAAAGGGCAGCTACTATTCATCACCCTCACAAAAGAATCTACCCGCTAGCCCCCTCACCCGACAGCAGACGAACCCACTCACTCACACGCAGCCTTCACACACTCGGCCCCTCTCGCCACCACGCCGGCAGCCTCCTACTCATGCCTCATGCACGTCGGTTGCACCCGGCGCTAGTCTCACCCACTCACACGTATCGGCCCACACAAGGCCTCCTTCCTTTGTCGCCGGTAGCACCTTCCCCCGTGTGTAGCTCCGGCCTTTCAATGTGCACACTAGCGTAGCTCAACCCTCCAACGCTCGACGAGCACCTTCGCGCGGCCCCACCCTCGCATGACGACGTAATGCCTTATGCTAAGCTTGCCGGCCTTTCTTACGCGCCCGGTTCACCGGATTGCGTGCGCCAACAAGCACGCCCTAATGTACGCTCGCCTTGCCCACGGGCTCGCCATGGCCCCAAAACGCGATAGTGCCTCCCCTCGGTGTGCGCCAACATCCTTGTGCTAGCGCCCGGTGCCAACACCAATGCCAACACCCTCACCGACGAACTCGCCGAGCAATCACCACTTTCACCCACCTTTCCTCCCCAATTGACCGAGTATTGGTCTCCATCGGGGTTGAAAAGGTCGGATCTAACTTCGAGATCGTCAAGCAAATCTGTTTAGCTCGTTTCTTTACGAGTAATTCTTTTTTCACTTTTTATTTCTTGTAGTTTATTTTAACATGTATTAAATTTGATTCATATTGATATGTGTTGTGTAATTGATTAAATGGTAGTATTGTGTGATTAATTCAATCTGTTGTTCATATGTAACTAATCCGAATTGTGGTGATGTTCATTTCTTGAGTTCGTAAATTTTTTGAATGATGTGAATGTCTTTTTAGTGCGTCTTATATGATAATTTTACTTAAAAAGGCGACATGTCGATTCAAACAAGTTGAGATCTTCGTCATGTAAATTTGTTCACCAAGCTCGATTAGTTATGCGTGTGAAGACAACTAATTTCATTGATTTTTGTTTTTGTCGATTTTAGCCCAATGGTCGATTTCGTTGATTTTTGTTGCCTCCATTTGCTTAGGTTTGTCAATTTTTGCTTATATTAGCCTAAGTCGTAGATTTTTGCCTATGACTACCTAAATTGTCAATTTTTATTTATTTTTGCCTAAACCATCGATTTTCGCCTATGATTGCATAAATTGTTGAGTTTCATGTTATTTTTCCTAAATTATCAATTTTTGCCTATAATCGCCTAAATCGTCGATTTTCACTCATTGTTGCCTAAATCGTCGATTTTTGCCTAGATTGTCGATTTTCATTTGTTTTTTCCTTAATCTCCGATTTTTGCCTATGATTGTCTAAGTTGTCAAATTTTATTATTTGTCTCTTACATTGTCGATTCCGCCTATGATTGTCTAAATTGTCGACTTTTACCTATGTTTGCATAAAATTGCTTGATTTTTTACCTAATTGCCAATTTTTTTCTAGGCATCGATTTTCATTGATTTAGCCAAATTTATCATTATTTATCTGCTTATCCATGTAGCCCATTATGCCTATTTTTACCTATTTTGTCAATTTTCATCCATTTAATTTTATCTCGTTTTGTCATCCTTGCTTTATCATTTTTAGCCATCCATTACAGAGTGAGGATGAGATCTCTAACCTAGCCAAGTCCCAAATCACCCAATTAGTGGGAAAATGCTTGTAAAATAAGTATAGTCTTTCATCATTAAAATCGGAAATCAAGTCAATTTTCTAAGCAATGTAGCTTGCTTTAGGCAAGATGGGATAGGGTGATCTTTAATCTTCCCTACACGTAATAAACCCCTTATCCGAACCCTAAACGGACCGATCATAGGGTTTCCTAGTAACCATAATACTAGATGGTAACTCTAATCATCTTTGCCATTTTTCCCATTTTCACCTCAACTCGTCGCCCTCACCACCGATGTCGCCTTACAACGAATGTCGACTCCACTAGGGACGTACTTAAGGTTAGGCATTGCATGCAATTTTGAGTTTGATTTCGATGATGTATGGATTCTCTTATGTTTGTTAACCTATTTACGTAATTTGCTCGTCATATTTAAATTCATGCCTTTGTTTTATTGTTCACCTTGAGTTTTTCATTTTATTTTATTTTTTTTCTTGATTCTTACTTATTTTGGTTTTGATTTTTATTTTTTTTCTTTTTGTTTGTATCTTTATCTTTATTTTGTTTCTAATTGAGATTGGATATGGAATAATGTCCATGCACGCACTACACTCACTTTTATTTTATATGCTTATCACACAGTTGCCTTAGGACTTATGGAGGTAGTAGTGGTGCCCCGATGGGTTTCGACCGGGTAAACACTCACGAAATCTCAACTCTTCTTACTAGTTATTAACGAGTGGTGGGTAACCGATGATTTTTCATGCTTACCAATCATCGCCTTTAGCGGCCCCAATAATTCTATTATGACTCATCGGGCTAGAAGGGACCCTTTTCGGACCTAGATAGAGCTCGTCCCGTTCATGTAATGACTTAGAACTAAACCTTAGGCTTTTACCTCGTAAATGTCATGGGCAAGTCAAACTTTAATGAAACCTTGACTGAAATAATTTCGTCACGATGTTTCGGGATGGGTGATAAAAGGACTAATATGTATTTCAAGACGACTTTTGAATACCAAAAGGAGTCTAAGACTTTTCAATCGAAGGAAGGTGATTGTTTGATAGAAGGGTTCGGAGTAACCTCCAAGATGTAGTGTGCATCCGGACGGTTATCAATGATCCGGCCAAGCTCCTAGAATGTTGGAATCGGTTGGTACCCACAGATTGACAAAAGTTCAAGGTTAAATATGGAAATTTAACTACTCGACTTGATATCCCCTGTTCGTAAATTGGCAATCAAGGCGTTAATCCAATTGTGGGATCCCTCTTATCAATGTTTTACTCTCGAAAATGTTGATATGACCTCCACTCTTAAAGAGTATCACCAAGTCGCAACAAATGCCAAATTCCCCATACTCGGTATACCTATACCATCATCGGGATGAGGTTTTTCATAAAGTTCAAACTTGGTTGAATAAGAATGCATCCCATGGATTGGTAAAGGACACGATAGAGGGATGGCATTGGGAAACATGGCACCAAACATTCAAGGGAAGTTTGAAAGATCTAAGAGACAGGTTCTAAAAGGGTTAGAATCCTAGCCCTCGGCATCTTCGAGCTAATACTATTTCCCTCGATCGGTGAGGTAAACAACTTAGATGCAAGCAACGTATTCATTAAGGTTGAAAAGAATAACGTGAATCCTACTGCAGCGAGTACTAGCAGAAACCATCCTGTCTTTGAACCATTATCGTAAAACGAGTAAAGGTGCTTGTGAGGGGTTGTGTATAATTGCTCTTTGTTTTTATTATCAGCCATATGGAGGCCCACAAGTCCATCTTCAAGTCATCATGGTGGTCAAATCAAGAACCATCGAAGGAGGTTGCCACGGTAATTTGGAAGAACCAGTTAGAGCATAGATGGGTGACCATGTTCCTTGAGATGCCAACCACCACAATGCCATGGATGGCGGTATGGATGAATCGGACTTCCTATCCGGCTTATTGTGAAAAATACCCATAGGCTCTTTTTATTGAGGTAACGAGCTACACGAGCTATGCACTTACCATGGTGTCTCGCTAGTTGGGTTATGAGCAATGCATACCAAGGAGAAAGGGTTTTATCAAGTTTGAAGGAAGTTTAAAGAGCGATGTCTCATCTAAATTTTTGGAGGTCATTAAAGAAGAGTGGTTAGTGCTAGCAATGGTACATCGGAAAATAGTTGATCGAGAGATAGCTATTATCATAAGATATCTTATTTGGCAATCAACAAGGGTAAAAAATTATAAGTCTCCGGTTTATTCGGTTCAACCCAACATACCCCCACCGGTGGTTTCATCAAACCATGGCCCCTTCGAGGAAATTCCGAGCCAAACTCTTAAGAAGAAACGAAGAGCAAAAAATAACATTGTGAAGGCCGAGTTTGTTGAAGATGAGATGAAAGAGGAGATTAAGCATCTAAAAGCCAAAAAAAATAAAGATAACAAATGAGTTAGTTGAGGAAAAGAAGAAGATAAAAAGGGTTGAGAGTAAGATGAGAGGAGTGGAGGCAAAGCTTCAAACATGGTAAGACATAGCAATCGAAAAGGATAACCGAAAAACCCTCTACCGCCAATTCTAAACGAGTTGTCCTTAAAGTCCCTCAACTTTAATGAGATGGAACGATAATATGATCAAGCTAGTTGTGAGTTGGGTGTCAAGAAAGCCGAGGTAGAAGAGCTTCGAAGAAGAATGTCGATTTGGTAAAATCTCTTAAGGAGGAATGTAACAACAAGAAAGAAATGGCAAGGCAACTTGAAGAGGCTCGAAAGAGGGTTGCTTCATTAGAAAAAGACAATCGATAGTTAGAGGTAGACCAGTACGGATAATCCGTATATTGGTCCAATATGCATAACCACTCGTTACGGATATGTGATGAACGCATTGAAAGTCCGATGTGGTTACTCGAGAAGCGATAGCCCTACGAAATTTGAGTAGAGAGGTCTATAAAGGCACGACACATAACCCTCGCCGACCATTCATGATATACTTGAGGAGATGCAATGATATACTTGAGGAGATGTGATGACTTATTATTTGAGGTGGCTAGACGAGGAATGGTTTTCGGAGTGTGATGTATAGCTTGGATGTTCTCTTGTAATTCTTTCTCTTATGGGGACATTTATTTATTTTTTATATGTACCACGAACGGAATAAATTTCATTTGGATTTTCCATTTTTGATTAATTAAAGTTATGGCATTTTCTTATGGATGATATTTATTCCCTCTCAAAAGATATGACAAACCGTTGAGAATACTTTTGATGATAACAAGACCATTGAATTCATCGACCGTCGCTCGAATACCTCCGATCCCCGGATGAGAAATGACTTATTTTTTAGAACATTTATGATGAGATCATTCCTTTCGGGATTTACTCTACGAAGAAAATAAGGCGAAGGGTTACCGATGAGATCTCTTCTCCAAATCAATTGACCTCTAATGAAACTCTCAAAGGTTACTAGTGAAACCACCATTCTCTTTTAAACTAATTTAAGATGTTCTTAAGCTATTAATGAAGTCCTTTTATCATCCTCTAAGTGAAGGCTATTCCATATCTAGTCTCGAGTGTCATTTTATCTTTAACCTATTATTTACACTTTGTGTTTGTTGTCCTTTGCTTGAACATAACCATAGGTCGATCCGTTAAAACTATACTTCCTTTGTGCATTCACCAAACAAGAGCAAAAAAAGATGAAGAATGAAGAAAAAGCTCGCTCAGCGTGAATCGTCGGAAGGAGGTAGAAACGTTAAAAGAAAAGATTGCTAAGTTTGCTCTGCTGGAACAAAGTCAGCAAAATCGCCCGATACCGAAGCTACCGTCCGAAGAGAAGTTAGCCGACCATCGGCATCCCTAAAAGTGTTCACTACCACCGTCGATCGCGCAAACTATTGTTCCAACACCGCCTTTTAACATGCCCCACGTGGAGCCCATCGACACTAATAACCATGCCAACCATCGGATGCTATGAGGCACATATGATTTTGCCTCTCGTCCTTTGGGACCTACCTTGATTTTGCCTTTAGTCGACCAAGCATCGATGACGACCACCCCCGATTTCATCTCTAAAGAGTTGGCCAAAGAGAAGATAGACTCGGGATTAGAAACGAAGAAGCTCATAGCTATTGAGGAGCGTTTAAGAGCTATTGAAGGTGCGGATATATACGATCCATTCCTCGGTATCGATAAGTGTCTAATGCCAAATGTGATGATTCCTAAAAAGTTTAAGGTGCCCGAGTTTATCAAGTACACTCGGGAGTCAATGTTCTAGAACCCACTTAAGGGTTTATTTGAATAAGATGACCGAGGTGGCATATGTAAAAAGTCTGTTAATCCATTTTTTTCTTGAGAGCCTCGACGGGCCTCGCCTTTAACTTGTTTATTGACTTGGATCAAACCAAGATTTAAAAGTGGAAGGACTACAAGCTATGAAAAAGGGTTCGAAAGAGTCGATCAAAGATTATGCTCAAAGATGTTGAGAAATAGCCTCTCGCATTCATCCGCCCCTTCGGAGAGAGAATTGGTTACCATTTTTATTAAAACTTTCAAGGCTCGATACTATGATTACTTGTTGAGCAACGGGTCAAATAATTTTATTGAAATAGTATCCGTAGTCGATCGATTGAACAAGCTATCAAGTCGGGAAGGATAGCCGACCCTTCGGAATCTAGACATAAGAAAAGTAACTTTGGCAGGGAGGAGAGACTCAAAGGTGCACCGGATTAGGGAGTCTTCTAGCAATCCTAGAGGGAGATGGAATAACTTGTGGGGGAATGACCACCAATAAGCTTCCCATAATATGGCCAACCCAAATGCTCAATTTATAATTCCTTCAAACACTCTTCCAACTAATGTTACCGGACTAACAACTCAAAAACCAACCTTTCCATCATATCAAATGCCATACAATCCTTACCAAACTATCCAAACACATGCCCTACCCCAACGCCAGACCTCAAACAAACTACCAACATCTATAATCGTTCATAAGTCGACAAAAACCACCGAATCAAAATTTCCCAAGAAACACTACCGGGGGCAATTTAACGACATATTGCCACCTTTTTCCATATCCCTCGGTGACCTCTTTAAACATCTCATAATCATTGATCGATAGCCCACGTGACACTCCTATCGGCTCAATCGCCATTCCCCTATTGGTATAAGCCAAATGAAGTATGTGACTATAATAGTGGTGCTAATGGTCACAACATTGAGAATTGTGTGAGCTTTAAGAAGAGGGTACGGAGTTTGATCAATCAAAGCTTGATCGTATTCGTGGATTCTTCAAACGCGTTAAATACCAACTCTAACCCTCTACCAAACCATGATGCAAGAGGGATAAACATACTATCAGTAGGAGATGTGAAATTTGATAAAAGAAGATCAACTTTGAAGGTATCCATGTTAAGCTTATTCGACATATTAAAGGCTAATGGTTTTGACAAGAAGCTCGTCGAGCCTCGGATTGCCAACCATGTCAAGTAATTCCGCAAATTCCATAAAGTGAGGGGGTATGAGGTTGATGATTGTCATGAGTTTCATCAAGAAATTCAAACCATGTTGACTTTGGGGACCTTAAGGATAGAGAAGAAAGAGACAAAGCCTACGGTGAACACTTTTACCTCAAATTCTAAACATAAAGAATCGAGTTGGTCGGATATGAGGTAAATGGAATTGGTCCTATGAAGTTGATCTTGAAGGCTCATGCTCCTAGGAATGTCAATTATCAAACCTCCTCTTCTAACTATGGGCACTCTCCTCTAGTCGGAGGATTGAATGCCGTGATGAAGATCTCCTCTAATGGGATAGTTGATATAGGGGGAGTTACACATTTAGGAAGATGCTTCACTCCGTAAGAATTGAGGGGAACAAAAGAGAAAGAAGTTGAGACTAATCCCCTAAATTCTATAGTAAGCAAGCCTATGAACGAAAAAGAAGCGATGGAGTTTTTGAAGCTAATGAAGCATAGTGAGTATAGTGTGGTAAAGTAGCTAAACAAGACCCCTACTCGTATCTCCCTATTGCCTTTAATACTCAATTCGAAGCCTCATCGCAAGGCACTTCGAAGGTTCCGAATAAGGCATATGTGCCACAGGATATCACCTTCGAATCAATGAAGTATCTAGTGGTAGAGTATAGGCTACTAACTACTTATATTTCACAGAAGATGAGTTAGGTACCGAGGGCACTAGGTATAATAAAGCCATGTACATTACCGTCAAGTGCAAGGACCATATAATAGCAAAGGTGCTTATTGACAACGGATCCACACTCAATGTTTTACCCATATATGTGTTAGATCACTTACCAATTGATCCTTCTCATATGAGGCTAAGTAAGATGATGGCATGGACATATGGCGATATGCCTCGACGAGTCATTGGTGATATAGATGTGAATCTTGACATCGACCCTCACCAGCTTCAAACTACCATATAAGTAATCGATATCTAACCTACCTATAGCATGTTGTTAAAAAGGCCTTGGATTCATTCTACTAGTGTAGTTACGTCTTTACTAAACCAATGATTGAAATGCATAGCCGATAGGAGGCTAGTTACCATAAAGGTCAATGAGACAATGAAGATGATTCGGAATATATTAGTCCCATATATTGAGACGAGAGAGGGCACGTGATGGGGATTTACATGCCTTCAAGGTGGTCAATGCTAAACTACTCCCGGACAATTCACGGATGAGAAGACTCGTATTATCGAAGCTATGAAGATGTCGACTAAGTACATGATAAAGTATAGGACATATTCGTTTGAAGTGAACGATGACCCATCGGAGATAGGGTTTCATATGAAGTCAAGATACGGAGATCACCCTTTTGGTTTAGGCTTTAAGCCATCTAGGAAAGACTAACAAAGGATGGCGAACGTAAGCGAGAAAAGAGAATGGCTCATATCGAAGGACGTGATCCGAATGATAAAAAGATTGATATTCCTCATATTCATGTCACCTTCCCAAAGCCTTCGTATATAGCTCACGTGAATGATGAGGATTTAAGTCTAGATCGGTTATTCCAAGATATGGTAGTAAACACTCTAGGATTTGAAGAAATTGATGATAGAGGCCGATCAATCCAGATCAATGCCAACCTTAGCTAGTGTGAGTACAACTATTTTATCCCAATTCATAGTTAATACATTGGGAGACACCTTTGATCTAGATCAACTTATCCGCAAGTTCACCAAGGGAGAATACTCGTATAATTGGTTCGATGAAGAGGCACCTTCAGTCTTCAAGACTAAGCAATTTTCTTACAATTTCGTTTTTTGTTCTTTGAACATTTTAGTATACGAAATGTATACTCGCTCGTTATTATTTTTTTCATAAAGACATTAATTATTGAATTACACAATGTTTGTTTGAATTTTAGCCCTTGCTTTCTTCTATTCTTCTTTATCTCGCATTTTATTTTCATTTCGTGGACAATCAATATGATCACTTCTTAAAAACCCAAAATGATTATCCTATAAATATTTGACCTAATTTTGATGAAACCTTAATTGCAATGGACGAAGAAGAATGGGATGACAATAAGATTTAAGAATTCACTAAGTTCGGTTGAATAATCGACTTGGTCCCTTCAACCGTACGAAGAAGACTTAGAAGTAATAAATGTGGGGACCAAGTAAAATAGGAGGGAGCTAAAAATAGTCACTTTGATAAAGAATATAGAAAAAGAGAGGTTAATTGCACTCGCTAGGAGAATATGCAGATGTATTTGCATGGTTATACACCGATATGCCGAGCTTAGACATCGACATAGTGGAACACAGATCGCCTTTGAACCCAAGGAGCAAGCCAAGTAAAATAAAAGTTAGGACCAACAAGGCTAGATATTCCGCTAAAGGTCAAAGATGAGATAAGAAAGCAGTGGGTTGTCGAATTTTTAGAAGTGGTTGAGTACCCTCAATGGGTGTCAAATATTATCGTTGTAGGGAAGAAAGGTGGTCGAATCCGAGTGTGTATGAACTTTCATGATTTGAATAAAGCCAGATCCGAAGG